TTTTGCTATCGATGGATTGAAAGAAGATGAAGACTATATCAACTATATTTAACAATGGCATGCATTGGTCATCTATTTATATAGGAAAAACCCATATAATTATATTTCCTTAATATTGATAAATCATTTTATGATTATTGGCAAATTATACTCAAGTGAATGAAAGGAACTTTTTTAATTGGTAGATTCATTTTTCTTTAAGTAGATAAAAGAAGTAAAGAAGGAAGGATTCGTTGCATCCTTATGCTAATTAAGGACTAGTAGTATTGGAGGACATGTTATTATATTTGAATAACGATAGAAAAATGATTGAATTTCTTTTAGAAAAATAATTAAAACGGTGTGATTGATTGCAAATATGAATATAACAATTATAACTGATATGATATAAAAATAATAAGCACAAATCTCGATATTCTAAATTTGATATCCTTTACCGTGTTTTAATACTGAAACAATATTAGAATGAATATATTGAAACTCGGTGGGAGTCTTCTCCGGAGGGTATGGCGGCATGTGGTGTTCTATCCGAGCTCCTAAGATCTCAGCTTAAGGTCTTTTATATATCTGAGTTCCTGAGTCCTAACCTGCGCTCTCTTAAATACATCTGTAAATTGAACTCTTGGTGCCTTAATACATTCACGAACTTCTTTCTTATACCCTGATTCACCGAGTTATTAGAGTGCAACATCAATTAGTAATTTCGATATTACACAATAAAATATATTATTTCTTATTTTTTTAAATGTCATTTTAACTTTATCAATAATTAACTAAATAAATGACGCTTTGCTCAAGATCGACTCGCCTAATAATCGAACAAGAATTTGCGAGTACATTATTGTCTTTTTCTATCTAACTCAAATCCAAATATTAACGGGTAATTGTCGGGTTTGAATACATAAATAGCATATGTGGGTCGGGCACGGGTTGGTACCAAACATACCCTCACATTTGATGCCAAATCTCACCGTTCATTTGAATTGGCTCAGTTACAGTTCCTTCCACCGTTGAGCTTCGGCGTTTTGTCTTCTTCTCAAAGACTCAGCTGCTATCTGCACCTCCAATCGATTGAATCCGAGCCTCCTCTCACCGGTAAAGCCCTTGTTTTCAATAGATGAAAAGGTTTTGTTTCTCACTATAAATTTTATTTAACTTCCCGATTTCAACCTTATTTTGCAATCATATTGTGCAATTTGAGATCTGAGATCAAACAAAGTGTTGGATCTGATTGATTTAGTTTATTCATGTTTTCGAAATTGTGTTGAATTAGCTTCTCGTTCGTCTTAGGCTTACGTTTCAGATCAGAATTATTTTTTCGAAGAAAATTAGAGCATTCACGGTGATTTGCAGATTTGTATAGTTGATGCACTATATCGTGATTCTCGTTTGTAGTTTTCTTTTATGCTCATTTGTGGTTATATATGATTATATGTGGTAGATTGGGGCTTTGTTCGATTTGATTTGAAGACCGTGTAGAATTAGGTTTTCGGGGTTCTAATTTTGTGAGATAAAGAGGATCTAACTTCTCCCGAACAAGAACTTGCTTAAATTCCTTATGTACGAGTTTTTTTTAGTCTGATTTTGATTGTCGGTGGCTCCCATTGTATGTGCAGAATTGTATTCTTTTGGCCTTGTGCAATTCTCAACTGTTCTGGGTATGTGTTGATGATCCCCAAACAAACAATTTGCCATGATCTACCTGATCCATACATAATATCATGAAAAATGGATACAAATATTTTATTTAGACTTAGTATCAGTCTCAGCAAGAGTTCTGAAAAAGTGTATATCCACTTTAGGTATTTGTACCCTGTCGAAATAAAGAACCATGGCTATATATATGTTTCAAATTGATTCCATTTTCTTGTGTGAGTTGAAAAAGGACTATCTCGTTGAAAGCTCCTATACATTTTCCCTTTCTCAACTAGGTCAGATGAAATTCGCCCTTATAATTGACACATGATCTGAAAATTTGGTTGGTTTAGAGTAGTGATAATATGAAATTGGGAGGTTTTTTTTCAGACAAAAAACAAAGTAAGAAAATTTTGTGTCATTGTGTGGTTATAACTTATACCCTTGCAGCCGACAAGATGCCCGCACAGAAAATTGAAACCGGCCACAATGACATCATCCACGACGTGTCCATGGACTACTACGGAAAGCGTGTGGCAACCGCCTCATCCGACTCCACCATAAAGATCATCGGACTCGGCCACAACTCCACTTCCCAGCACCTAGCCACCTTAACGGGCCACATGGGGCCCGTTTGGCAGGTCGCCTGGGCCCACCCGAAATTTGGCTCTGCCCTCGCCTCATGCTCGTACGACGGCCGAGTCATCATCTGGAAAGAAGTCTCCCCAAACGAGTGGACTCAGTCCCACTCGTTCGACGACCATAAGTCCTCGGTCAACTCCATCTCGTGGGCCCCACACGAGCTCGGCCTCTGCCTCGCCTGCGCCTCGTCAGACGGCGACATCTCTGTCCACACGGCCCGGCCCGATGGAGGCGGATGGGACACGGCCCGGATCGAACGGGCCCACCCAGTCGGGGTGACATCTGTCACGTGGGCCCCGGCGTTGGGGCTTTTTGGGCCCGACGGGCCGGAGCCCGTTTGGAAGCTGGCGTCGGGCGGGTGTGATAATACGGTTCGGGTTTGGAAGATGGAGAATGGGAATTGGAAGATGGACTGCTTCCCGGCACTACAAATGCATGGGGATTGGGTTAGGGATGTGTCGTGGGCCCCGAATTTGGGCCTTCCGAAATCGACGATTGCTAGTGGTTCTCAGGATGGGACGGTTGTGATATGGACTGTGGGGAAGGAGGGGGAGAAGTGGGAAGGAAAGGTATTGAAGGATTTCAAGGCTCCCGTTTGGAGGGTTTCGTGGTCGTTGACCGGGAATTTACTGGCCGTGGCCTCTGGTGAGAAAAAAGTTACTCTGTGGAAGGAGGCTGTTGATGGGGAGTGGGAAGAGGTGACTACAGTTGACCAGTAAGGTTTGCATGGAAAAAGGGGGTTTTAAATATNTTTATGTTATACATGACTGGGTAAGGATTTGAAGAAGACTAGTTTTTTTATTTTAGTTTTTCTGATGTGTACTGTTGAGAGGTTCATTGTAGTTGAATGATCCTTTTTGGTTTTTTGAGTTGGATTTTGGAAGATTATGGTTCTCTCTTTTTACCAACTTGGTTGAATTTGATGGGTGCTGTTGTTATGAGTCTCTTGTTGCTGTTTGTGTTCACAGATTCTTGGTATGCTATGCTTGGAATGATGATAGTGTTGGAAGTTGCTGAACAGGAGAGTAGTATATGAGATTTCCTTTTATATTTTTCATTTGGTACTTTGTTCCATTGTGTTGTTTATGATTTGGGTAAAGAGGTAACAACTAGATGTTTAAGGGATTTTGATCAGAATTGTAAGAAGAATATAAACCCATTTTTCTTCCTTACGATGGTTGGTGCAATCTTTACTTGCATATTTCAGATGTGACATGAGATGAGATTGGTGTTCAAAAGTTGCGAAATGTGATCAGCTAATGTACCATTAGATTAACATTCAAAGATTACGGAATTCTATGTGTGGCTCTAGTACACATCTCAATGTGTCAAAATTGGGTAGAAATGTATTCTATATCTGAGGAACCAACCTGTGGTTGCCCATCACGTTTTTGTATGCCTGTAATGGTTGAATGTATTCTTGGTATATATTTACATTTAACGATAAAAAAAAATTGGATAGAAATGTGATGGACTGATGTGCCATGAGTTTAGCATTCAAAGATTACAAAATTTTATGCGTGGCTTGTGTGCTCATCTTAATGTGTCAAAATTGGGTAGAAATGTGATAAGCTAATGTGCCATGAGATTAGCATTCAAAGATTATGAATTTTTCACGTGGCTCGTGTACAAATTTGATCAGCTGGTGTGTCATGAGATTAGCATTCAAAAATTATGAATTTTTTACGTGGCTCGTGTGCAAAACTTAATTTGCTCAAGTTGGGTAGGTGAATACTTTTAATAGAATTTTAACTAATTATTCAGCAAGTTTAGTTAATTAAAAAGGATGTTGAGAATATAGTTTCAATTATGAATACAACTAGTAGAAAGGATGTTGAGAATATAGTAGTAAACTATTAATTATGAATAAAACTAGTAGTAGAATATAAACTCCAAGAATCGACATATAAACTCCAGAATAAAGAAAAAGAATTAGGCGCGAACTGCACACATTAGTAATAGTACGCCCGCGTTTCAGTCTGAATTCAAATTCGCGGCTCAACACACACAGTACAGGAGAAATTCCCTTTCCATCCAAATCCGCAAACCCCAAATCCCTAATTTTCAAATCCCCAATTATCTATATCTGAATAACAAAGCACGCTTACGGCTTGATTTGCAACAGTTGACTCCATTGATGTCTGCTTTTCTGCAGCTTCTCAAGGCTGTACAATCGTCATGGCGTGGAGTCAGATTTGGATTGGGCGATGCTTCTTTTCAGCTGGGTACGATCTTTAGCTCTAGCTCCTTGTTTTCCACATTAACCTTGATCTTGTTCGATTATTTGCGTTCGTTTGAGCTCTTTTTTTTTTTTTTGNCTAAAGAATATCACCAAACTTTTCGGTTGAATATTGAAATAATGGGGATTGTCTCCTGGTGGGCTTTATTAATTTTATGTTGTAATAATCATAGCACGAAAAATGTGATAATTTTTCTTGCAGTAGCAATTTTTTAGTTTCATGTTTTGCTAGGCCTTTATTTGTGTTAAATTGGCAGCTGATTCTGTGTTTCAAATACATAATCTACATGTTTAAGCAGTTTTGTCTAAATTTGCTTCAAAACAGCATTGGTTGTCGTTTACAGCAAAAGATTTAACGACATGGATAGAATGTATTGTATGCTGTTCTATTTTCACAAGTGTTGCAAGCGATCAGGAGATTGAAGTTTTTATCTGATATTGTGGCAGTCATACTTTAGTTTTTCCAACATTATGTGGAAGCTTGGAAAATATGGCATGTTGAAGCTGAGGAAAAGCAGGAATCGGAACCTGGGTCCTAATCTGCTTCCGGCTCTGTACATCCGTGACCATTATATTGTGAGTTTGAAACCCAATGTTTTCTAGAATATTTGATGTTGATATCTGCTAGTAAAATCAAAATTATTATATGATCATCTCTACAGATGTTGAGTTTGTGCTCTGTGCTAATTGGTATTGACATTAGAATAGGAAAACAATGCAAAGAAGTGTCCTGTGTTTGCCTCTATCTTTGGTAACATGAGACGTCTATTTTTACAAGACAATAAAAAGTTCTTACAACCACATATAAGTTGGATTTTATCTGAACAATCCCATGTAGAAGAGCCTTCATTTATTACATGTGCTGTTGTCTTATTTCACACTACAATAAGCATACAATTGAAACCATGGTCTATATTGTGCATCAATATCTATAGTCTCATAGTATTGGACAATGCATATTTAGTTAATTGTTTGAAGTGTCAGCCATAACTTTGGTTTTAATCCTCTTCAATGCAGCTGCGGTTTCTATCATGTTTATTCTTTCATCGCCAAGCTAAAGACAGACGAAACACATTCTTCCTTTGCGTGAAAGTACTCATCTTCTCTTGTTAGCAAATCAAGACCAACAACTTCAGTCGCTGCATTATCTCGTAATGCTTCATGGACCCATTCCTTTAAGCTCATGTCTTCACAAAACATATTGTCTGTCGGCTTTTTCCTTGTAAAAATTTCCAGCAACAATATGTCGTAGCCATAAACATCTGCACTAGTTGACACTCTCCCTTCTGATCCATACTCTAAACACAATCATAGGAGTATCATCGTCATCATGTGATAAATCTTAAGTTTTCCAATTTTGAATTAACGAATAAAATTAGGAGGGGTTGAGAAAGCCTAATTGCAGTGAAAAAGAAGTAGCTTTGAACACTATATCTGCCTTCTAAAGAGACCGACACATGATTAAAGTTAGCATTTAAGTTGTACAATTTTCAATTTTCCTCTTGCTCAATCTCTACAACCTGTAGGATGCACTCTATAAAGTAGAAACAAAATAAGTGGATATATTTATGTCTGGAAGATGGTTGAAGTTTTCATTAACTGTTCCTATAAATTTTCCTATCATGCGAAAGAACTTAAAAAACAATAAACAAACAAATAATAACAAAAAAGATACTCAACATCAGGAAATACCTGGTGCTGCGTAACCAATGGTCGCCAAAGTTTTGGTATGAACCATAGTCTCCCCATCATCAAAGAGCTTGGCTATCCTCGTCGAGCAACACATTACTCGGCTTTATATCACAATGAACAACTGGGAATGTGTGACCATGATGAAGATATTCCAAGGCTAATGCAACATCTATTGCTATTTGCAGTCTTTGTATCAAATCCAAACAATAGTTATCGGAGCACAACCATTTCTCCAAGCTCCCATTTGGCATGTATTCAAGAATCAAAGCTTTGAACTCTGTGTTGCTGCAACAACCAATTATATGGACCAAGTTTCTATGCCGAATGCTACGAAGTATTTCACATTCGGTATCAAAACTGCGAGTGGCTCTTTCTAAATGCGAGTTGAAGACTTTTACTGCATCATTTAGCCCATCTTACAGCACTCCTTTGAAAACTGAACCAAAGCTTCCTATACCCAGCAGGTTGGTTTCATTAAAGGCATTTGTTCCCCTTACAAGTTCTATGTATGATATCCTTCTCCAAATGACACCTGGTGAGATATCAGTAGGACTTGGTCCTCTCTTTGGTGTACGTTTCCTTGCCAGCACAACTAGTATAATGGTGGTCAATATGATAATGGAAACGAATGGAGGCAAAATATACTTTATCAACAGATCGCCTTTCTTTGATCCGGAACTTTTTGTGTTGTTCCCAATGCAAGCAGGCACTTGAAATCTTTGATCTCCACAAAGTGCATAATTGTGAAGAAAATATTGGGATGTGAAGTTAATAAAAGAGCCCGCTGTGGGAATCTTTCCCTCCAGCTTGTTGTCTGACACATTGAAGTGTTGAAGTAAATTGAGGCTTTCTAAGGACTCTGGAATTGGCCCCGAAAGATTGTTATTAGATAAATCCAACGTGAACAAGCCTTTGATGTGTCCCAATGATGGAGGTATAGATCCATCGAGCTTGTTGCTGGACAAATTCAGGATATATAATGATTGACATCCATCGATTGAGCTTGGAATATCTGCCGAGAAGTGATTATGGGACAATTCTAATGTGTTGATTGCATGCAAACCCGCAATCTCATTTGGAAGTTGACCACTAAAGTTGTTTGATGACAAGTTGAGAAACAATAGATCCTTAAGATTCCAAAAATTGGAAGGTATGGTGGAATTCAGCTTGTTTGAACTCATGTAAATTTTTCTCAGGGATTTAAGTTCACCAAAGCATTCAGGTATGGGACCTGTGAGAAGATTCGTGTGGAGGTAAAAGTCGCCCATATTACGTAATTGACAAATATCCAGAGGGATAAATCCTTCCAGTCTATTCCTCGAAAGACCTAATATTTGGAGTTTCCTTAATTTTCCCATTGTTGATGGTATGAGTCCCCTCAGTTGATTTCTATCTAACAATAGATACTGCAAACTACTCAAGTCTCCAATGGCAGAAGGAATAATTCCCTTAACGTTGCAGTCTTGGGCAAGGAAAAATTTAAGAGATGTGGATAAATTCCCAATTGAGCCTGGGAGGATACCGTTGAGTGGATTGGCCGAGATTTGTAGTTCTTCTAGAAATCGGCAATTAGCTAACGAGGAGATGAATTCTAGCTCCTGATCTGGAGATTCGGCTCCACTTAGATTATTCATCCAAACAAGAAGAATACGCAAGTATCTTAAGTTGCCAAAGTTGGGCATGGAGCCGCTGAATGAGTTGTTTGCCAGTTGCAAAACAGACATCATTGGTGATAGAAATTGGAATCTCCCCATTGATTTCATTAATGGACAAATCGAGGTATTCAAGGTTTGGAAGTGACAACTCCATTGGAATATCAAGAACACCTGAAAATGATTCACCGAATGATCTAAATCCTTCAAAGTGAGAACTCCGAAGAGCACAAAAATAACAGGACCAAAATGAGGTTTAAGATTGGAAAGCGAGAACTCTCAAGGAAGACCGAGAATACCTGAAAAACGGTTAGACGAAAAATCTACGTTCTTCAAAGTTGATATGTTGAAGATGGAAGTTGGGATAGGACCGAACAAGTAATTGTTCTGCACATGGAAAATCTCAACGGAAGCCAAATCAGCCAGCTCTTGTGGTAATATACCTGTCAGGGTGGCCTTTCAAATGTTATTGGTTTTCATATTTAAATGCTCAAATTAGTTTGGTAAAAAAATGATGAATTGATTGACATGTTACTACGAAGTATCGGACCTGTCAAGTAGTTGCGAGATAAGTATATTTCCTTCAAGGAAGTGCAGTTCCCAATTTGCTTTGGTATATACCATGCAGGTAATTTAAGTCATATATATCAGTGTAAAAGACCTTCCAAGATTCCAAAATGATAGAATTACTATGGGTTGAGCGGTTGAGGCTTATTTATGATTGAATAATCGTGGGCCTCATAAAAGAAGAAATATGTTCATAAGAATAGAGTTTTGTAATCTTCCTGTGAGAGAAGCCTCAGGGACACTTAATATCTCCATCCGCGAAAGTTTTCCCAATGACACGGGAAGTCCTCCTGTAATAGTTTACCGACTAAAACATTAGCATATTGGTGTCAATTGTTTGTTTGTTTG